GATAGATAGGATGGATAGGATAGGTAGGATAGATAGAATAGATAGGACAGATAGGATAGATAGGATAAGATAGGACAGGATAGGACAGGATCGGATCGGATCGGATTAGGATAGGTAGATAGGATAGGATAGGACAGGACAGGACGGGACGGGATAGGATAGATAGCCAAGACAGGATAGGAATTCGATAGGATAGGATGGGATAGATCAGATAGATAGATTAGATAGAATAGATAGATTAGATAGATTAGATAGATTAGATAGGTTAGATAGACTAGATTGATTAGATTGATTAGATTGAGTAGATTGATTAGATAGATTAGATAGGATCGATAGATTAGATAGGTTCTATAGATTAGATAGATTAGATAGAGTAGATAGATTAGATAGAGTAGATAGATTAGATAGATTAGAAAGATTAGATAGATTAGATAGATTAGATGGATTAGATAGATTAGATAGATTTGAGACATAAGATAGATAAGATAAATAGAATAGATGGGATAGATAAGATAAATAGGATAGATGGGATAGATAGGATGGATGGATGGATGGATGGATGGATGGATGGATGGATGGATGGATCCATGGATGGATCGATGGATGGAAAGATAGATAGATAGATAGATAGATAGATAGATAGATAGATAGAGATAGATAGATAGAGATAGATAGATAGATAGATAGAGATAGGTAGATAGGTAGATAGGTAGATAGGTAGATAGGTAGATAGGTAGATAGGTAGATAGGTAGATAGGTAGATAGGTAGAGAGATAGAGAGATAGAGAGATAGAGAGATAGAGAGATAGAGAGATAGAGAATATAGAGAGATAGAGAGATAGAGAGATAGAGAGATAGAGAGATAGAGAGATAGAGAGATAGAGAGATAGAGAGATAGAGAGATAGAGAGATAGAGAGATAGAGAGATAGAGAGAGAGAGATAGGTAGATTCGATAGATTCGATAGATTCGATAGATAGATCGATCGATAGATAGATAGATAGGTAGATAGAGAGATAGATAGATAGACAGACAGACACACAGACAGACAGAGAGACAGGCAGGAAGGCAGTCAGGCAGGCAGGCAGACTGACAGACCGACCGACCGACCAACCAATCGATCGATAGATTGGTAGATCCATAGATCGACAGAAAGACAGATCGATAGATCGACAGATAGACAGATAGACAGATAGACAGATAGATAGACAGATAGACAGATAGATAGGTATAGGAGCTAGGTCGCTACGTAGATAGGATAGATAGGATAGATCGGATAGGATAGGATAGATCGGATAGGATAGGATAGATAGGATAGATAGGAAAGGATAGGACAGACAGGATAGGATAGGATAGATAGGATTGGATTGGATTGAATTGCATAGGATAGATAGGATAGGATGGGATGGGATAGGATAGGATAGGATAGGATAGCGTAGGGTAGGGTAGGGTAGGATAGATAGATTGATAGAGATACAGACGCAGATACAGATACAGATATAGATAGAGATATAGATAGAGAATCATGCAAGATGCAGCTCTTGTACAGTTCTATTGATAGGCCGTGACTTTTCCTTCCTTGGGTGTTTTTTGGAAAAGTCTTTGTTTGGTTCCGGTCTGCTTTGTTTTCTATTTGGTGCATTTTGCAGCTAAAATCTCCAATTGGCAGCGTTTTGGATCTTGAATCTCTCTCATTGACACCATATTTAATGCATCTTGCAGCTAGACTCTGTGCTTCCCGCGTGCGGTAGTGTATGCAGCATGTTTAAGCTGAAATCTCTTTTTTGCACGGGATTTGAGGCATTTTGAAGTTAAAATCTGCCAGTTGCATGCTATTTGCTGCATTTTGGACCTTGAATCTCTCGTTTGAAGCGTAGTTGCAGCACGAGCCAGCATCTGCACATTGCACGGCGTTAGTTGCAGCACTCAGCATGCTCAAGTCTCTTCTCTGCGCGGTATCTGCAATGTTGGAGCTAATGTTTTCTATTTGCATAGCATTGCTACATGTTGAACAATGAAATCTGTTATTTGTATGGTATTCGCATGCATCATTTTGCAAACCAAAGTCTCTCATTACACATGTTTTCTAGCATTTTGAGCCTCAATCTTTCATTGTTGCTGCCTGGCAGTTGTAGCATCTTGCAGCTGGCACTTGTCATGTTGCAGCACTTTGGGACGGAAATTATGTTCGCGGTTTTGTTCTTTGATGCTGGGTATTAGCGCTCTTGTTGTTGTTTGTGCATTTTGTTTCTTTCAGCTTCTCCCTGTTGCTATGCAGTACCAGTATATTAGGGGATCTACTTGCACAAGGGCATGTAGATTTTGTAATGTAAAAACTGGAATTCCAGATAAAATCAACGATGATGAACCAAACAACTTACCACATGCAGTATATTCTATGAATTTATCTCATGTTGTTATTACATCTGTAGATAGAGATGGCTTAAAAGATGGAGGCGCAAGTCAATTTGCAAAATGTATACAACAAATACGTAAATTGTGTCCTTATTGTCCATTCAATCCATTTGCACGGTATTTGCAGCGTGGTCTCCTATGAATAATCCCTCCAGGGTGGACGTTTGCCCAAAGTTTCCTTGGGGCTTATAAACCTTGGGGTCGATTTTGGCTTGGGCTTTCGTCAGTGGTTGATTTGGGGCTTGCTTTAGTGTCTATTTAGGGTTGGTTTAGAGCTTGTTAGGGGCTGTTTTAGTGTTTATTCAGTGTACCTAAGGTTTGTTTTGGGTTGCTTTAAAGGTAAAAAATCGGGTTGGTTTTGGGTTGGTTTAGGAGTATTATTTGGGGATTTGTTTTTATTTGATTTAAGGGTTGGTTAGGACATTTAGGACGTTGTGTAGCTGTAGATTTGATTGATTAGGTGTAGCTATGTCTTGCTCGCAACGCCCTTGGCGCAAGTAGGACGTGAAACAGTTGAATCTTGTTAAATTTGTCCTTGCCACACCTTTGAAAACGAAACTGTGCATGATCATGCTACTTGTAGTCTCGTCTGACTTTCTCTTGGTAGGTCTGGCGAACCCATCAAATACTAAGGCGACAGAAGCAAAACCCAGTCCGAACCGTTGGTTATCGGCCATGTGCCACCAGTGTAACAGCTACTAAACTATTTCCTGGACATTCCTGGACATTCCTGGACATTCCTGGACTATTGTATTGCCTTTTATCCAGATTTAAGGGAGGCCCCAAACGACACCCGGCGGAGTAACAATAGTTGTTTGTCCTCCCGCGGTCCCTGTTTTAAGCTTTGTTAAGGGCCTTTGATTCATTGCTCGCAAACAAGCAAGCAAAGGTGGTTTTGCCCCATGTTAGGTAAACGTGAAAATGCAATCAAGCACAGGCAGTGTCAAAAACATGGGTTTGAAGCTTGCAGAAAACATGCACCGCAAAAGTATTTTGGAATCGAGAAGCGGAGATATCATTTTGCAGCAGGTGTTTATCTTGTCACAATGCCTCTTGTCTTTCCTGTCCTTGTCATCCGTGTTGTCCTGCCAAGTTTTGTTCTTACTGTCCCTGCTTAAGAAGCCAAGAAGCGACGTAGTCAGAAGCAGCATTTCAGAGCCTGAATCTGTAATGATTTCGTGGCAGGTGCATGTTCTGGGCTATAAATAAAGCTCAGATTTCGTGGCGCGGACAAGTGGGCATTGGGGGAGGGTGCAGCTCCTACAACCGCAAAGGAAAACAACAACTTACGTTCTGTTGTTGGCATTGTTGCCTCCCTGCGTTTGCTGTGTGATGTTGGAGATTGTCTTTTCTCGTATGTTTTTAATCATACTATATAGATCTATATAGTAATATGATATTTCCATTGTTGTTTGCACAACGCTTGCAGCATGCTGAAGGTTGAATCTCTGATTTGAGCAGGATTTGCAGTGTTTTGGCGCTAAAGTATCTTACTTGTATTTGCAGCGCTGAGGGCTAAAATCTATGCACTTATTTTGGTTGCTTCTTGCTTTTTGATTCCTTCCAATGTTGCCCCTGAGGTCTGCACAATAGTTGCAGCATATTGCCACTAAGCCACGAAAGCCAAAAAGCCAAGCAAAAGCCACAAAGGCGAAGAAGCCAAAAGCTACAAAAGCCAAGAAACCAAAACCCACAAAAGCAGTCCCAGACTGGAAAACAAAATCAGCCCCTCTTTCCTGATACGCATCAATTTGTTTTTAAGCGAAAGTTCCACCTCCCCAAGACCCTGGAATCTCACTGAGCAACGTATGGCTTGTGCACAACGCACACAGCCACATCAGCCACCTAACACTTGCGCGGACCGACGAACTTGTCGAAGGCCACGGAGAAGTAGATAATTCACTCACTCTGGGCCAAAACTCAACACGCAAAGGTTCCGTGGTGCAACTTGGTCCCACATTTATTCTCAATCGATTCTCATCTTTGGCATGCCTTTGTTTTGACCCATACCGAGCTGCTAACATCAGATTATTTTTTCGAAAATTCTCGAAAGCCCATCAAGATGGCTGCTCAGTGCAAGCAAGGGTTGGTCGTGCTGATCGGAAAATCGAGAGATTCGAGTCGAGAGCTCTTTATCACAATAGAAGTCCGTAATCACAGCGGGACATACCAGGACAAGGCCCTTATACAAATTAAGTCAGCTGTGTTCAAAGGATATATTTTAGTTGGATCATGTTTCATCAGCTGTATAAGTCTGGAGCTCTCTCGGATTTAGAATATTGTAAGCAGGAATCTTAAAAAGGGGAGGTCCAAACAAGCACTGCATTCCATGATATTCCATGATATTCCTACATCAAGGGGGGACCTCGGATCCTGTTCGTTCCGCTTTTCAAGACGTCCTGCTTTGGCTGAACTGCTGCGACCAGCAGTCATGGTTCAAGTCACATCGGGAATCTCAGTTTCACCGGCTGCATCTGGCTGCAAGAAGCTGGCATGTCGCCACTTTGCATTTTTCAAGGAGTACAATGCGGGACTCCTCCTGCATTCCTTTGAACCAGAACATCCAACCTGTGCCATCAACATGAATTACCACTGAAGTGCGCGCGCTAATTGCGGGCACTGCTCAGAAAAGGATTTGTGTGCGTCCCGCACCACTCGCTTGTTGTATTTGCTCATGATGTGGCCAGCAACTCCTATCTGGGTCTTGTTGTTGAATGACAACTCCCTGCTCTTCGCTGCCAACGCGTCGCAAATGCTCTTAAAGAGAGTAGCGAGGGCGACATGTTCAACTGAAGACAATGTGGCGATTGAGACAAGTGCCGACATCAGAACCTGCACTTTGACCTCATGAAGTCGACCCTGAAAATAGACCTCGACCGCGTAAATGAGTGCGCGAAGCGTCTGTATAAATTGCACTGGGCATCGTCGAGAAGGACAGTGCTGATTTGCGGTCGAGTCAAGGCCGTCAAGGCTGGCCCGGTCGGTGGAAGTGGAAGGAAGGTGCTGAAGGTGCTTGACACACTGGGCACATGCCCACAAGGCATTGGTGACTTCAAAGTCATTGCAAGTCTTCAGTCCCCGTGCCACCACTTGAATGAGCGCTGCCAACAAGTCCTGTGGGAACACCTGCAAAGGCAAATAAAGGCAAGGTGCCAAACCAAGTCACAAATTAGCCGGCATTTTTATGCATGTTTATGTCTTGTAGGGCTGTAGGGCTGGTCCTTCTGATGTTTCCCAAATGATTTGGGATTATTATTCATGAGTTAAGGATGGGGGACCGAGGAAAAAAGACACTTAGCACCTGCAAAGATGCACTGGACCACGCAATGATCGTGGCGCACTTGGCTGGCATTGAACCATCGTTTGCTGCGATCTCACGCCAAGTTTGCTTCCGAATCGCATCCAGCAAGGCGTTCAGGACCAGCGTGTCATCTTCATCACGAGGCCCACCAAGTCGAGCAATGCGATGCATTGCTGTTGATAAGTTGATAGCATTCATTCCAGGAAGCTGTTTGGCAACCAACTTGAAAATGTCAGGTTTGGTGCACAGATTCGCCGTCACCAACTCATTGTTGAGCCTCATCTGCCTCGTAAGAGTAGCTTTGGAGCTACTGTTCTTGCTGGCACGCGAGCGCCCGTAGTCTCCAGGTGCCTCACTGTTCTTTTCTTTCTCAAAAGCTGCCTCAAGCTTGTTGAGCTTGCCTTCCACATGTTTCTCTGTCGGAACATCGCTGTCAGTTGACAAGGAGCTTGCAACATCTGGCAGATACTCGGAGCTGACTGTCTTTCCCTCAGTCTCACTCTTGGGAGCATCGTCGACGAATGACAAACAAGGGCAAGACGAGGTTTTGCGAAACTGTGGGTTGCACAGTTCCACTGGCATGAACTCCAGGAAGGTGTTCTTCACCGAGATGTTATAGAGCGGAAGCATGCATCTCAAATCTCACATGCACCCCACTCCCCGCTGAATTTTCGTTTGAACCACCGTGCTAGCCAGCACCAAAACCATCACACCCATCCTGCACCTGTTCTTGCACAGACTGGGTCCAAACGTATCTAAATCCCTGTTCAATGTGCATTCACATGTGCCAGCAGTGGTTTGCTCATGGAAAAGGCAACTGCAAATGCAAATCTGCTCAAATGAAAATAAAGCATGTTTGTTCAAGGAAACGGATCTTTACAATCGTGGACCTAGAATGTCTTGGTAGAGTTTGCTTTCTGGGAGGGTCTTTGCAGGAAGCTGGAAAGAAGGAACAGGGAAGGTTTCAGAGGCTGTTGGGATGCGGGACTTTTACGACATCGTCGACATCATTGCAACTTTGTCCAGCACAGCCACCAACCCACCCTCGCTAGAACCCTTGGAACTGGCCCAAAACCTTGCCGGAACCTGCACCGTGAGAGTCTACACTCTACAGATGCTGCCTTTGGGAAGCACACCAACTGACATTCTTCATGGGGATTCCAGGAAAAAAAACGACATTGTGCTGTTTGCCACAGTTGTGCTACTTGCCGTTGTGCATCGCCGACATAAGGATCATTAGAACAGCCACACGCCAACCATTCCTGGTGTTCCAAACGACGAAAGTGCTGTCGGAAGTTGCTGGCAAATTCTGACGCTTGCCCTACCGTGTAGCTCTCCTTGCAGAACATTTGACAAACTGCAAAGTCAAAGCAAAAAAAAACACGTTGCTCCACCTCTGAGTCTTAGCACCATCTGGAACGACAATACTGCCACCAGTCGCAGCCTCAGGGTTCAAAAAGCGAAAGTGCAGATGTGAGGCTGGTTGCAAATTGCTGCAAAGAAAGAGGATCAATGACTATCACTTGCATGGGAATTTAAGTCCTAAGTCCGGCGCAGTGCCAAACCTCAGTGAACCCGTAGCATTCTCAACTGAGTGAGCTTGAAATAGTAAAGTTGTAAGCGAGGCGCGTGTCCGCAGTGTTACTTTTGCCTAGCTGGTCAAACCATTGGAAAAGTCAAGTTTTGAGTAAAACCACACTGCTTCGAACGCAATCAAGGACGACGGAAGCAGCAGAAGTCATATGAGTTCTATATGTTTTCTATGTGTTCGATTGTTTTCTGATGTTTTCTTCTGAAAAGAAATGGAACTTGGTCGACAAGTCTTGGTGTACCGTCTGGCCTTTCACGGTGGGTCTCCATCCCGGAGGAGGGGCTCCAGCCCCACGCGCCATACGCAGTCTGAGAGAAGCCACGTATGCCACGTTGGATTGGATTTATTAATACTTCTTCCCCACATGTCACAACATCAACGTATCAATTGCGTTTTGAATTTGTATCGAACTGTACCGTTGCAAAACCTGCGCTCAGCCACTTCAAGTGTCCTTGGACAAACAGCGAGTCCTATGTGGATGTTGCATGATGCTGCATTTCCATGCATTTCCAAACTTTATGCTGCAGGTGGCGGAAAAGTGTCAAAGTACTGTCTTGTTGAGATATGTGGGTTGCTGCTTTCGCGCGCTCGCAGCAGCCACTAGTGCCACTAGAGCAATCCATCCACTGTATGCCTTGAAACGATTTTGGGTCAGCGGAATGGCACGACCATGCAGGCCCATCATTTAAGGCTCAGTTTGTATTGGCATCGATTTCATCTGATGCCGGCATGGCACTCTCCCAACATTAAACCTTCCTCAAAATTCACCCATTACCACGATTGAAGCATTGGTTTTGTCATGTTTTGTCTGGCAGCTCTGCTTCACGCGTTTTGCTTCACTCAGCCGCTTCCTGACAAATTTGAAAAACCACCCACGAAAAGCACTGGATTTCGCCAGAGTTCAGCAAGATCGTGTGCATGGGAAGTGTTTTGCTATGTTTTACTTGCAAGACATGATACGAAGTATAATGATGTATCTATGCATCGCTATGCATCGTTTTGCATCGTCATGCATCGCTATGCATCCCTATGCCTCTATAGGTTTTCTATATCAAATCTGCATCTCACAAAATGAGCAGCACCTCCTCGCCCTCAGCACCTTCCTCGTTTTCGTCATCTTGCACCTCGCGAGTCAACATGTAAGCTGTTGTCAGCTGCTGTCAGCTAAACCAGAAAAACCATTGGGGTTCAGAATGTATCAGAATGTTGTGTTCGCCGTTCGCCATAGCTTCCAGCTGACTGTGAAGTCCAATGTTAGATATTTCTAATCGAAGGAAGTTTAGAAGTCAAACTTCTGACAAGATGGAAAGCAGAGGTGGGAAGAGTCAGAGAAGAGAAGAGAAGAGAAGAAGATCAGAGAAGAGAAAGAGTCAAAAGAAAGAAGCTGCAGATGAGCGAAAAGGTATATAGAGAAGTCGCGAAACATTGTGTTATTCCAATGTTTTGTGGTTCCAGACGGTCGAAGAGTAGGCTCGCTAAAGCGACTCCTCCTACTCCTACTACCCCTCCTACTCCGACTCCTACTCCTACCTCTACTCCTACTCCTACTCTCACCCCTACTACTAGTGCTACTAGTGCTACTAGTGCTACTAGTGCTAATAGTGCTACTACTGCTACTACTGCTACTACTGCTACTACTACTACTACTACTACTACTACTACTACTAGAACTACTACTACTAGAACTACTACTACTAGAACTACTACTACTACTACTACTACTACTACTACTACTACTAGAACTACTACTACTAGGACTACTACTACTACTGCTACTGCTACTGCTACTGCTACTGCTACTACTACTACTACTCCTGCTACTACTACTACTACTACTACTTTTACTAATATTAATACTAATAATGATACTCTTACTGCTGCTACTGCTACTGCTACTGCTACTGCTACTACTACTACTACTACTACTACTATTACTAGCTGCTGCTGCTGCTGCTACTGCTACTGCTACTGCTACTGCTACTGCTACTACTACTACTACTACTACTACTACTCCTCCTGCTACTACTACTACTACTACTACTATTTACTATTTACTATTTACTACTATTTACTACGATTTACTACTATTTACTACTATTTACTACTATTTACTACTATTTACTACTATTTACTACTATTTACTACTATTTACTACTAAATACTACTATTTACTACTAAATACTACTAAATACTACTATTTACTACTATTTACTACTATTTACTACTAAATACTACTATTTACTACTAAATACTACTAAATACTACTATTTACTACTATTTACTACTACTACACTACTACTATTTACTACTACTACTACTACCACTACTACTACTACTACTACTACTACTACCACTACCACTACCACTACCACTACCACTACCACTACTACTCCTACGACGACGACGACTACTACTACTGCTACTACTACTACTACTACTACTATTACTATTACTAGCTGCTGCTGCTGCTGCTGCTACTGCTACTGCTACTGCTACTACTACTACTACTACTACTACTACTATATACTACTACTACTACTACTACTACTACTACTACTACTACTACTATTAAATGACCGGATAACCCCACAAATCAACTTCTTCCGATGATCACCAAGCAGATGTGAAAATGAGATGGGAAAGGCAGGAAGGAAAGGAGATGGTGCAAGACAGGTTGGGTGAAAGAGCTGCGTGCGGCAGTGTTGTGTGTGTGTAAGTTTGTGTATGTAAAAGTGTTGTGTGTGAAAGAGTTGTATGTGACAAAGTTGAGTGAGTAAGTTGTGTGTGAGTAAGTGGTGTGTGGACAAGTTGTGTGTGAGCAAGTTGTGTGTGGACAAGTTGTGTGTGAGCAAGTTGTGTGTGAGCAAGTTGTGTGGTGACAAGTTGTGTGTGGAGAAGTTATGTGTGAGTAAGTTGTGTGGTGACAAGTTGTGTGTGGAGAAGTTGTGTGGGAGTAAGTTGTGTGTGGTGACAAGTTGTGTGAGAGTAAGTTGTGTGTGAGGAAGTTGTGTGGTGACAAGTTGAGTGTGGAGAAGCGGTGTGGGAGTAAGTTGTGTGTGGAGAAGTTGTGTGGTGACAAGTTGTGTGTGGACAAGTTGTGTGTGGAGAAGTTGTGTGTGAGTAAGTTGTGTGTGGACAAGTTGTGTGGTGACAAGTTGTGTGTGAGCAAGTTGTGTGTGAGTAAGTTGTGTGTGGACAAGTTGTGTGTGAGCAAGTTGTGTGTGGACAAGTTGTGTGTGTGTGTGAATAATTGTGTGTGTGTGAATAAGTTGCGCGCCACCAGATGCCATAAGTGCCACACCTGCCACGCAAAGTGAAGGTCCATGTCGCCAAGTGCCACGCCTGCCACGCAAAGAGCCGCGGCGCCCACGGCGTCAACTGGGAACCAAGCGCGCCACCAGAGCCAGCCCAGTGCCATAAGTGCCACGCCTGCCACGCAAAGTGCACGTCCATGTCACCACATCCCTTCCCCTATAGAGGGGGAGGGCGGGGGGGACAAAACCAAGCTGTCGAATTCCATTTTTTTTGCTTGGAAACCCTGGGATCCAACCACTCAAATGGAATTGTAAAGTAACATTTCTTAACAAGCCTTGGGCACTGGTTAGAAAATACTTCCGCTTAGCTCCGGAGGAGCTAAGCGCAAGTATGATGACGGCGGCGCAATTTTTGGAGGGATGCCATCCCTACATATGTGCTGCTTCAGTCTGACATGTGCTTAGCTCCTCCGGAGCTAAGCGCAAGTATTTAATTTTCATCTGCTTGCCAAAGACATGGAATGATGAGGAATATTGATCATTGAGAAAGCATGATTGCAAAAATGGAATTTTAAAATGAAATTTCAGTACGACTCCCCCCCCTCAAATTCCATTTTAAAGAGGGTAGGGATGTCACCACGTGCCACGCCTGCCACGCAAAGTGCAAGCCCATGTCACCAAGTGCCATGCCTGCCATGCAAAAAGCCGCGGCGTCCACGGCGTCAACTGGGACCCAAGCGCGCCACCAGAGCCAGCCCAGTGCCATAAGTGCCACGCCTGCCACGCAAAGTGCACGTCCATGTCACCAAGTGCCACGCCTGCGACGCAAAGTGAAGGTCGATGTCACCAAGTGCCACGCCTGCCACGCAAAGTGTGGTGACAAGTTGTGTGTGAGCAAGTTGTGTGTGTGTGTGTGAGTAAGTTGTGTGTGAGCAAGTTGTGTGTGAGTAAGTTGTGTGGTGACAAGTTGTGTGTGAGCAAGTTATGTGTGAGTAAGTTGTGTGGTGACAAGTTGTGTGTGAGTAAGTTGTGTGTGTAAGTTGTGTTGTGACAGGTTGTGTGTGAGCAAATTATGTGTGAGTAAGTTGTGTGGTGACAAGTTGTGTGTGA